TGTCTGGTGAAAGGTTGACCAATCTGTCTGGCAGGCTGACTTCCTGTTTGTCTGGTGAAAGGTTGACCAATCTGTCTGGCAGGCTGACTTCCTGTCTGTCTGGTGGCAGGTTGACCAATCTGTCTGGCAGGCTGCCCTGACCTTGACGGTGACCTCCACGTGTTGTTGCGGGCTCCTGTGGGAACACTAACCAGCAGCTTCATACGTGGCAAGCGTCTGTCACTCCCGACCGACGTCTCTCTCGATCGCGTCGCGTCGGCATGGTAACCCGTGGGCGCCCGCTCGCCGTCGTTCGGGGAGAGTCTGCCCTTGAGAGCGAGCAGGGCGTGTCGCAGCTTCACCGTCACGTTGCTATGCGGTTGTTGTCGTGCGACGCCGACGGACGCACGGCGGGTCACGTTATTCCCGACGACAGGCGGACGACGACACATGCCGACGTCGGTACGCTGCTGTCCCGGCTTGCAAGCACCACGCGACGTCTGGAATCTCCTGAAGCCCGCCTGGGGGCGCTGGTAAGAGGATATTGGAGTGGGGTCGGAGCGGATGTTGAAGGTACGAGGAGCTCTACCGAACACTAGCGGAAACCGTCCGTTTCGTTTGGTCCTCGCTCCCGCGCGCACAGCAGTGCCGACGTTATATTTAACGAAAGCTCGATTTCTACTAGCTGCTTTATTGTTGTTGTTGTTGTTGTTGTTGTTGCTAATTTTGCTGCTATCGTCGCCATGATTATTATGGTTGTTTTCGTCATTGTAAGCGTCGGCATCGACGGAAGCCACGTGATTACCGGCCTGGCCGTCATTCACATATCTACTATGTCGTTTGCGCGCGAGTGAGAATCCGTCCGTCTTTTCTCTGAGCTGCTCTATGTAGTTATAGGAAAATCCGTGCTTAGCAAGAGACAGTGCGTCTGCTATTACAGCGGCAGCAGAGCGTGACGTCATACCACTGGAGTTCCCATCCGCGTCTTTCCTCGCAGCCTCCCTCACGTACGCTCCAAAGTACCGTTTCCCAGACTGCGGGAACGCTAGCGGAAGCTCGCTCACGCGCATTCCCGGATGTCGCCGTAACGTTGACGACGTGCCGTCGGCGATGCTGCTGACATCTAACGGCGTCGCGAGTGATGAGTCGTCGCTGCGAGTGATCGCGTCAAGCAGCTCCGACCGCCGCCGGCTGCTTTCGTCTGCACTTTCTCCGACTTTTTTCTGCACATGCTCCCCGGCGTGTCGCATTAGCAGTGCCGACGCATGCGGAACTGTCGGTGAGAGTCGCCGTCGGTCGCTTTCATCTGTGAGTCGCTGCCGATAAGTGTAGAATTCGTCGAGCAGCGACCACGCACCGCGTCTGCTGTACGCCGACTGGTTCAGCGGCCGGCGCAGCGGCGACGTCGTTCGCGTGACGTCATTGCGCATGGTCACCTTCAACGATAAAATAGTCGACTGGTTTAGTAACAAAGTACGGTACTTCGTGCTTTCTATGCTGTCGTACGCGTTGTTACGTGTTCCGCTACCTATAGTTACTTACTACGTGCTTTCGTTAACTAGGATAAAATTAATTGGTTTAAATTTAAATTTAGGTGATCAACAACGACGTAATAAACAATTGCAGTACAATCATGTGCGCTAATGGGGTGGTTATATCATTGAAACGATCATATAGAAAACTCACATGGAAAACCAAAATAGAAAACCCACAAGGAAAACCAACATGGGAAACTCACATGGAAATCTCACGTGGAAAACCCACAAGGAAACCCAACATGAAAAACCAACATGGGAAACCAACATGGAAATCCAACATATAAAATGGAAAATTTCTAGCTCCGTGCGTTTGCCGCCGGTTGACAACTTACCGCGACTGAAGCGAAGCCTGCCATGGTAACGACGACTAGCAACAGAGAGATGCTGGCAAACCGCATCCAGCAAGCTGATGAATGTAGCATCCAGCCGTGATGCGCGCGGGGCCGCAGCTGCGCATGCGCAGACATCATAACATCGACACGGTGCGCGAGTGAATACCGGCGCAGTTATTGTAGCAGTTCACTGAAAGTCGTTCTCTATTCCTCTCTCTCTCTCTCTCTCTCTCTCTCTCTCTCTCTCTCTCTCTCTCTCTCTCTCTCTCTCTCTCTCTCTCTCTCTATCTCTATCTCTATCTATCTCTCTCTCTCCTTCTATCTCTCTGGATAAACCTCCTTTCTTAAAGATATTGCGCTCACACTGAGCTTCCCTGTCTGTGTCAATAAGCTGTGTCGGCGAGTATCTTCAGTGATGAAAGGGTTGAACCTCTTCTCCGACTGATCTTCTCGAGTTTTCACTCGCACTGCGATTTCTTCTGCGCGTTTTCGCACTAATCGCTGACATGTGTCTCACTTCACTTCACTTCACTTCACATATTCAAATCAGCTCTAGACTTCACTTTACACTTCACGTTCACTTCACTTCACCTTCACATCCACTCTCCGTGTGCTACCGCTATCGACAGATGTCGGTCGACTGCTACTTGCTAACTAGCACTGCCGTTAAGACTAAGCCAGTTAACAGCAAACCGTTGAAGCGAGCGTTGAAGGTAATGAGGATCGAGTACACACTAATGACCACGCTCCATGACTATACGACTGGTGTCGCTCATTCTTAAGGCGGTTGACCCTGTCGCGGAAGTCATGTAGTGTCGTTAGCAGTATATCGGAAATCTTCAGGTGAAAGACCTTTTGCTTTTATGATTGTTGGGAGTAACTATAGTTACCGCGCTCGAACCGCTTACCCTTCTCTCTTGTGTGTGTGTTGTGTGTGTGTGTGTGTGTGTGTGTGTGTGTGGTGTGTGTTGTAGTGTGTGTGTGTCTGCGCGCGCCGTGCGCGGTTTACGGAGTCAATGTGTTGCGTGCGTGCGTTCCGTGCGTGGCGGCGTGCTGCGTGCGTCGTGCGTGCATGCATACGTCGTGCGTGCGTGCGATGCGTGCGTGCGTGCATCTAATTGGCTTTTTGTTGTTCGTTAGTCGTTCGCTGAGCTTTTTGCCTGCGAAGCCAGCAAGCCGTTAGGGCCAAGACTCCCGACAAAGCAGGTCGCAAAGGGCAATGTCGTTAACAATCCATGACCGAGTGACAGCTGTCTACTGCAAAACTGCAGCATTTCACTTCCACACAACTCTTTCCTGTTGTCTCAGATTTCAGCGTTAAACGCGCATGCACGTGATCTTCACGCTAGTTCACAGATTAGTCGGGAACTTTGTGCTGCCTTGGATAGTTTCATCTCAAAGCAAATTCGTTGTTGCGAGCCATCGTCGCCTTGTTGGTACAAACACACGCGCGTACAGACACGGCACGCACGGCACGGATGCACGGCACGCAGCACGCAACGCACCACGGCAACGCAACCACACGGTGGCAACAGCCACAGCACATTTACTCTTCCATATGTGTTCAGCGACCTTGTGTTAGTCTTTATCACACGAACACCTCGGCTCTCAGGCATAATTTGACAGCTAGAATGCGTATGAACTCGAAGAAGATAAATGTTGCTCCCATCATAATTATCATTATATCACCAAATCTCAATTATATTGTAACCGTTGTTGTTATTCGGTCAAGGTATTGGACGGGAGCGGGCGTTAGGTAAGCGATAACAATTGCGTAAAAAATAAAGACGTTGTATGCAAACTTTCACGGGCCATAAATTCAGGCAGGGCTTAATGTGCGCTTCGATAGTAAATTTATGTCAAAACGATAATCGATTTCGACACGTGTCAAGTCCTTCATAATTTAACAAGAGCTCGCGATTAACATAGACTGGTAGCGGGGCTTCTATATGCTGGAAGGTGAGTGATTTAGTCAGTGCAAATGTGTTGTTTCCACGGCGAAAGCTTTTAGTGTTGCTTCCTATATAGATCAGTTTGTTTTGAAAAAACACATACATACACACACAAGTCGCGGCGCCCGACGCGCGTGCGCGCGCAACACACACACACACACACAACACACACTACACCAACACTCGCGCGCGCACAGCACCCACACACACACCACACACACACCCCACACGACACACACACAACACCACTTACGCCCACACTACACCAGTCACATGCACGCGGCGGCAAGCGCGCGCACGCGACTGCACGCACGAGGCCACGCACGCAGGCACTACCCGATACGCCGAGCCTCTCTATAAACTGCCAGTAAGGTAGTGAGTTTCCCAGTGAAACGAGAAGAAGGCGCTACGTGGCTGACATTAGGCAGGGCAGTGAGATCAAATGCAGGTAAGCATCATAGCTAGTCAGTCAAGCTACGAGCTGGTATATAGTAGACATGCATGCATGTAAAAGTGACATAAAATATATTGAGAAACTTCTTTAAAAAATGATCGCAACAAGCGTGTGCAGTGACTTCGATTAAATCATAGTTAGTGGCTATGAGCCGCCTTATTCTGAAAGAAATTCAAATTCTTTCAAATACATGGGTGCGTACTTAGTGACAACGCTGCTATATGTCTCGCGCGTGGGAGCTCAAATTCTCTCCTCTCCTCTCCTCTCCTCTCTCTCTCGCATCCGCGCGTGCTCTCTCTCTTCTCTCTCTCTACTTTCTCTCTCTCTTTCCTCTCATCTCTCTCTCTCGGTCACAGCCTCTCTTTCTCGGGTCTTTCTCCTCTTTCTCTATCTCTCTCGATCTCATCTCTCATCTCTCATCTACATCTATCTCTCTCTCGTTCTCTCTCGCTCCTTCTCTCTCTCGTCCTCTCGAGTCATCGTCTCCTCTCTCGTCTCTCATTCGTCTTCTCTTCTCTCTCTCTCTCGCTCTCGCTCGCTCGCTTTCTCACTTTCTCTCTCTCTCTCTCTCGTTCTCGCTCTCTCTTTCTCCCTCTCTATCCCTTTCTCTCTCGCGCGCGCGCTCGCGCTTCTCTCCCTCTCACTCTCTCATTAAGTCAATCAGATAACTAGGACCATGTCAGTTTTTAATATTACCGATGCCAAGCATTTGTACATTTTTACCCGGACTGTCTAAAGGATAACATGGAACTGCATCATGTCTACTATCCGAACGAAGGGCCCGTTGGGGCGCGTTACTACGGTAAAACTATGCTCGGCTGCCTTGAAATCACCAAGCAAGCAACGCAGCTCTGCCTGGACGCTATCGGTATGATCAAAAAGACATATTTAATTAAAATATATAAGCATACACGCTAACTGCATTGTATCTAAGTTTATTCCTACGGTATACCAACTTCGCGATAGGTTACTGTTATATGTTCGTACGCGTTCGCTTTCGCTTTCTCGGTCACAGTTACACCTAAATCATAATAACACGTATAATATACTTGTAACAAACACAGTGTGTAGAGTTTCACCATGAATTGAATATGCGTATGTGCTGTATATGGGTATATATTGCGCATCCCCGTAGCACATGACAACCTTTCACTAGTAGACGTAATACCAACAACGGCAAAACAATATCACGTATAGACCACTACTACAGCAACACGTAATGCATATAATGCAAACGTTGAACGTAGCTAACGCACGTATATAACAGCAGGATGTTTCCATACTCTCAGATGCGGTTCCATTCTCCGGTAGAGGGAGCTGCTTCCGGATCGCAGACTTTGGCGCCGCAGACGGAGGCAACTCTATGGCACTCGTTAAACTCCTCATCGGTACGACCGTAGATTATAGCAAAGAGCGTAACCTGAGCGAATTCTCATAGGGAGGGGCAAAATATCGTGACTTAGATGCGAACTTACTAACGAGCAATTACTTCATTGACGATTAGGCTAAACGACGTATTTTGTGTTCGATTATTTCACGCGTGTATTTTAATATGATAAGCATAAACGATGCAAATCCTTTCTTGTCGGCCATCAACAGAGATTCCACTATTTACATCCCGCGCTACAGTTCTATACCTTCAGTGATAAGCCGAAAGCGAGGCTAACCATGAGTACGCCTTAGCACAAACTCCGCTCGTAAAATTAACGTGTCATCACGTTCGATTAGTTGGCGTTGACATAATACTGATCGTGACGGCAGTGGCGGTGGCGACGATGACGATGCTGCTGATACAGAGTGACTATAGTTTCCTTCTTACAGTATAGACTCACTTCGGAAGAAGCGCGGAGTAGACTTCGACATTGAGGTATTTTATGAAGATCAATTTTCAAACGACTGGACGTCGCTGTTCTGTCGTCTGCAAGGTATTATTTATATTATTATATAAGACATTATTACAGATTCATGTATATTAAACACGCGAACTCATGCACGCATGCACGCACGCATGCACGCACGCACGCACGCACGCACGCACGCGCACACACACGCACACTCACTCACTCACACGCACGCACGCACGCATATATATATATTATATTGTATGTTACATGTTACTCGCTGCAGGCGTGATCCCTAAGCCGGAGAGCTATCTAATAGCACATCCAGACGTTCGTGTCTTCGCCAGTGGAACGTCCTTCTACAAGCAATGTTTCTCCAACAACTCCATCCAGTTTGGTTTCTGTATGTCTGGAATGTTTGTGCTGTCACGACTGTAAGTGCAAATATCCCCAAGCTTCCCTCTACAATTATGTTTTATAGACATTCTTCCACAATTAGTATAATAAATAATAGTAATAATATAATATTAAATTATATCATAATAAATGTTATATAATAGTATAATATTAATATTTAATGTATGATAATATATGACTGCCGCATCGCTCTCGTCATCTGATTCCACGTGTCTCTACAGATATCTATCTATGTCGGCATTGCCTTTCATCTCCAGGCCCTGCAATATAACCGACGGTCTTCACAGTACAGAGATCACCGTAGCCGAGGAACGAGAGATGTTCAAGCGGCAGGCGGCCGAGGATTGGGAGAACATACTCGTACATAGAGCCAGAGAGCTGCAGCCAGGTACGCATTAGCATGCATGGGTCGGGAGCAAATATGTTGTCAACGAATAGATGCAATTTCTTAATGAGTTCATTCGGTACCTGATGATTATTACAACGGCGAGTAATGTAGGTAAGGGGCAATGGATCAAGAGAAATCACTTCATTAAAAAAAAGGTGTGTGCTGACCAATGTTTCCACACAGTTTCAGGACCAGTCGGAACTGCCTAGCTCGTGCATAGTTCGTCTAGTTTCACCTATCAGTGATTATAGATGCTATACACACGCATGTGACCGTACGTTACGTTCTAGGAGCCCGGCTTGTCATAGCGAACTACGCTGCTGACGCAGATAATCAGAGCATGGGACGTACCAAGCGTATCAAGCACAACATGTTTAAACACATGACGGATAAGTGTCGTACGCTGATGGATGAAGGCATCATTACCAAGGTACGATCTCGCGTTCCCCACCCCCAACTGAAACACTAAATGCACGCATTGTGTGTGTGTGTGTGTGTGTGTGTGTGCGCGCGTTCGTGCGTGTGTGCGTGCGTGCGTGCGTGCGTGTGTGTGTATGCGTGTGCGTGTGTGTGTGCGTGTGTTTTCCATGCATATTGTACATTTAAAAGTTTGACACAAAACTTTTAAGGACTACCAATTTTCTACCAATCCATATCCTTTCTTGTGTCTTCAGAAAGAGTTCCAGAATATGAACGTCAAAACCTACTTTCGCACGGAGAAGGAACTAGAGAAGCCTCTAATAAACGCCGATTCTCCTGTTTACAAGCTTGGTCTCCGTCTGGAATCGATTGAAATAAAGCTGGTCAACTGTTACTTCTACGACAGATGGCTTGCAAGCGGCATCGATGGTTAGTACAGGGAAGTTTATGCTTGCGACGTTGACATATCAGATGTTACATTAGAAGAAGAAATATTGCTGCATTGATGCACATTATATGAATAATTAATCGCACCGACGATATCATGTGACGTCTCTTTACAGAAACTATCCGTTTAATTACGTGTACGAATGTATGATCACGTTCGTACGCGCGAAATCTGATTAAATTTAAACTGATTTTGTTTGCTGCGTAGCTGCACATCCAGCTAATTGTAACTGATAAACGTTTTATTCGCCGTCAGGTAACGCTGCTGCGGCCCGCGCTCACGCACAGTCGTACGTGCGTTCGATTCACATATGGGGGAGGAACGTGCTTTTACAGGGTTTATCCGATATCCGCACTCCTCACGAGAAGGCAAAAATCGTCGATGCCTTCTTCCAGAGTTACGAGGATGACGTGGCTAAGCATCCAAGAGACCACGGCAAGGACTATGTCATTGCCTACCTTCATATCAAAAAGCTGGAATAAAATATTATAACGATCTTCAGTTGAGTTGTATAATATAACAACTCTTCAGACCTTGCTTGCTTTATTACTGCAAAGTCTTTATTACTCTAACGACTTATTATTACTTTATTGCGGTAAAGACCGTTACCGTTTGTAATCATGTTATACAATAATTAATATTCGTGTATAAAAAATTCAATCGCACAACGTGCGGGGTGGCTTTATAGCGGTGTAACTATATATAAGTTTAAAAGAGTGATTGCAGAGAAAAAGTGGGAAAAATAGAGCCAAAGTGATGATCGCGTTATTGCAGTGCGCGTTGTATTTTATCCTAATCTAGATGGCGCCACAGGCCACGTTCACCTTTGACCCGCACCACTTTATCGTCTGGTTTCGGTGCACTAAAAAACGTAAACTTTGATTTCATGTAACATCTTTCGATGCTGTTCATCGACATCTAATTCAGCATAACAGTTGGTAGACACCACACAGACTCTTCCAAGACCTTGTATGGTAATTATTTTAACTAAACGTGTGTACGAGAACGGTTTTCGATCCGCCACAGACACTGAGACAGTCACACAGCACAGGCACTTGCGACGTCTCAGTATTTATAGTTAGTGTTGTCAATCGGTTGTAATTTCGTAATCGATCATCGGTTGGACCCAAGTAACCGATGATCGGTTACTCGGGGTGTCGAATGCCTGCGTGTGCGTAACGTCGTGTACATGTACGTGTGTGCATGTATATGCTTGTTTAGCCCTGTTTACTGTTTGTTTTGCACTGTTTACTACTGTGTCACGTGTGTGTATAATACATGTAATTCTCATCACTTTTTTCTTTTTTTCGAATTTTTTTTTTATGAAATTGATTATGGATTTTGATAACCAAGCGCTTGGTTCGAGCCACTGTTCAACCGATGATCGAGTATAATCGATGATCGTGACATCACTAAGCGCTTGGTTCGAGCCACTGTTCAACCGATGATCGAGTATAATCGATGATCATGACATCACTAGTTAGTAGTATTAGTACTACTACTATTACTATTATATTAGTAATAGTATTACTATTAAAATGGTGGTAAATAAAAACTGTGTTTACTACGAAAGACTTAATATTTGTCTACTCTCTATCGCCTCGTAATTTCATATATATGCTGTTCAAACACGAAGACGCGCGCCCGCGCACACACGCACACACACACACATACACAATCAACAATGCCACCGCACGCATGCTAAAGTACTTAAGTAGCACTGTGCACAAAAATAAACTTAGAAAGTCTCAAAGAGAGCAGCTGGAAAAGCGTGAGTAGCAAATTCACACAATGCTCCACGCGTTTCACACCTCAATATGCCCAAATATTTGCATAAATGCCCAACCAACCACCTCTATATATCATGGCCCATTCTTAGTTTAGCCCACCAGATTAGTTTAGCTTGTATGCGAACTATATATACAGGGGTACCAAAGTAGAATTGAGCACGGCATATTGGCAATGTTATCTATGTGTAGCCGAATGCTTGCTTGTTTGAATTATCACTTGCACTCAACTTAATTTACACAGAAAAATCTAGTCAAATCTTGCGGAAATATCGTTTTCTGTGGTTTTGTAAAGTCAGAACAACCGCATCGTCGTGCGTGTGTAGTGGCAGCGCGTTGTATTCTGTGTTGAAGCTCTCCCGGCATCAGATCTCCCGGGTGAGCCCCACCACTCGGCTCAAGCACAATTTGACCAAGAATGACGACACGTGATCACGTTCGTCGACCGAATAATCTAATGGGCGCCGAGACGAAGATTGTCTAAACGACAGACGGGCGAGCGATCGCCGTCGGGAGCCGGTGCTCGAGATGCGGTGTCCTGCAAAATCTCAGAATCTGAAGCCAGAGCGAGGAGGACGCGTCACCGGGGGAGCAAGACGTTCGGATCAAATAAAATAAAGTTTATTGCACGGATAATCGCAGATCATACAGGCAAATAGGCTACAAACTACAATGAAACAAATTCCTAGGCTAATAAAAACGAGAGAAACGATGTGTCTTTGACTACTTTGACATGACTGCATGACACATGTTAGTGTGATCGACGTCGGACGCCAACGATTTCCGAGCGGACGACGCAGAGGGCGCCACTTGGACGTGCCGACGTTTTCGCAGGACTGACTCGCCGTTCTCCTTCACTTTCCAGATGATGCGTTTTGGTCGAAGCGTGGCGCGCCTACTAGCGCCCTCTAGGACCGGCGGCGGCGCACGACACGTGAGCATCCGGCGAGGCAGGAGCGACGGCGGAATCGGCGCCGGCGGCTACGCGCTTCTTGTTGTCCCGGCAACGGCGTTCGCTCTCGGCGCGTGGCAGGTGCGCCGCCGCCGCTGGAAGCTGAATCTGATCGACATGCTGGACACGCGACTCACAGCGCCCCCTGTCCCGCTGCCGGACGACGTCTCCGCGATCGCGGACATGGAGTACCGGCGCGTGCACGTGCAGGGATCGTTCGACCATGCGCGGGAGATGTACGTCACCCCGCGCTCCCTCGTTACCCCCGGCGACCGCGGCGGCGGCGGCGGCATGGCGAGCGACCCGAGTCGCGTCGGCACGAACGTCGTCACGCCGTTCCGCCTCGCCTCGCCGCTAGAGGGCACCACCATCCTCGTGAACCGCGGCTGGGTGCCGCGCGCACGGCTGCGGCCGGAGACGCGAGCGGACGGGCAGATAGCCGGAGAGATCCAGTTCGTGGGAGTGCTGCGGCTGTCTGACGCGAGGCAGCCGTTCATGCCGCGCAACGACCCGGCGTCCGAGACGTTCTCGTACCGGGACGTCGAGGAGATGGCGAGGCGGTCGGGCGCCGCCGCCGTGTTCGTCGACGCGGACGCGGACTCGACTGTTCCCGGAGGACCGGTCGGCGGGCAGACGCGCGTGCGGCTGCGGAACGAGCATCTCTCCTACATCGCCACCTGGTGGTCGCTGTCGGCGGCGACGTCCTACATGTGGTACAGGAAGGTCGTGCGGCGGATTCCGCTGATGTGACGGCGGCGGCGTCGGGACGGCGCGGGAGAGTCAAGGTCGAAAAGAAGGACGCGCGCGCGCGCGGCCGATTTCTTTTCACGAAAATCGTGGAAAAAGTGCGAAAAATTTCTACTAGGCATTTCTCCGTGAAGTCTTTGCGGAAGGTGGCGGAGATGGTGGCGAGAATTCGACGGTGGCACGCGTCGATTCGTTTCTGTTTCGGTGGATGCGACAATGTTGCCTTTTGTTGCTGAATCGGCAACCTGTTGCATTGAGCTCCTCAGCATTTCGATAACTAGATAGTGTTGGCTTGTCAGTGTTAATTCACCATGCGGGTTTGGATCTGTGAAAGCAATTTACTTGGAGATGCAGTTATGTTGGATGAAATCATTCGGATTTGAGATTGTGTGTAACATGTGATAGCTTGTATTTAAATTGCTGTTATTGCAACAATTTTTGTGTGGTTGAATATAAAAGCAGTACGAAAATACACTAATAACGGTCTTGCGACGTTTAATTCTAACAATTTTACATCGAACACATTGAATTTCTCAGATTCACATGTCTCACACTTACCACCGTATATATTAGTCACAACTTAAAACATGGCAGACCAGAAACACAAACATTTCCCTATAAACACTCAAATTTGAACATGATCTTCGCAGTCTATAGCAAATATTTAGTTAACGACGGCAAGCATGTATAAATGTAATAACGTAAGCTTAGCTCCGAATCCGGCCCACCGTCTACTGAATCTAATAAATATAATATTAATAATATAATATATATACATATAATAATATAAATATATAATAAGATACTAAGATGCGGGTCGTCATGCATTCTCTCATCCTGCTAGCTACTCCTCCGTCTAACCTACGCTCCTCAATCTAACGAAAGTTCATATAAACGAGTGAAATCCGTTTTTCGTTTTCAGGCCGCCTGATGCCGTGACCGCCGCGAGATTTCGTCTATCATCCGCGCATCTCCATGGCAACGTCGCCGCCGTGCTGACCTCACAGCCGCCGATGGCTGCCGCGTCAGACGGCGGCGCCCTCGCAGCAACGGAAGACGGCGTCGCGCCCGCCTCCCCTGGCGAGGACGGGATCGACGCGCGGCCGCCGGAGTCGCGTCTGCTGACGCTGGTGTCTCACGGTGGGGACGCCCACAGCGTCGTGTTGCTGCCGTGCGCCGTGCGCGAGCGCATCATACGCACGGCCGGGTACACGAGGATCCCCGCCGCCGCCGCAGCAGCAGCAGCCTCCGCGGCCGACACGGACTCCAGCGGCGAGTGCCGGACGACGGTTGCCGCGGCGACGGAGGAGGAGGAGGGGGTTGCCGCGGAGGCCGTGGTCGGGATAGATCAGGCGTATGACTGGGAGCAGCAGGAGGGGCTGATACGCGGCAACGAGGAGGAGGAGGAGGAGGAAGAGGAGGAGACGGCAATAGAGAGAGACGTGTCGGTTGTGAGTAGAGACGATAAAGGAATAGAAGAGGAAGCGGTCGATGGGGAGACTCGAGGAGAGGAGGAGGTATCGCTAGGGAAGATTCGAGAGAAAGAGCTGGCAGAGGATAAATTCGAGGAAAGGAAGCAAGTTGAGAAGGTTAAACAAGAGGCTCTAGTGGAAGAGAAGGTCCAAGGTGCTCCGGATAAACCGAGCAACACTTTAGAAAAAAAGGTAGTGCCACCAGTTAAAAAGGAAGATCAACGTAATCTAGTGGAGAAGGATAGAAAAATAGAGCCTATGGACAAAAATGCAGAGGAGAACATTAAGGAAGATAATAGAGAGAAGGTCGCGAATGAGGTTAGTACAATGAAATCAGCGGAGGGAGAAACTGAGCTGAAGGAAGCCAGAGAGGATGGCAAGAGGAGCCAGTCAGCAGAGGGAGAATCTCAGGTGGAGACAGCCACAGCGGTCAGCAATCGGAACCAAGCGAACGGTCGAATCATCGCAGCGCAGACAGACGTCGCAAAAGAATCGCTAGAGGAGGAAGGTCGGCACGCAGCAGAGAAACCTGAAGCCAGCGAGAAGAAGGAGGAAGAGGAGCAAGCAGCAGGAGAACACACATACGTCGAGAAGCATTCAGCGGACACAAGCGAAGAGGAGGTCTGGCCGGAGGAAGTCAAGATCGCATCCTCCTCCTCCTCCGACGATCACAGCAGCAGCCTCTTCTCGGGACGGGAGAAGGAAGCCGGCGACACCGAGGAGGGCGACGGAGGAGGGGAGGTCGCCGGAGACCCGAGCGAGGAGGTGATGCGGTGGGAGGAACTGGAACTGACGGAGTTCGTCAGAGGGAGAATCCTAGAAGAGGCGCACGAGCGAGGAAGGGATCCTCCCACGCAGCCGCCGCCGCCGCCGGAAACCTGGGAAGTCGTCGATGGAGGAGAGCTATCCGGGGAGTCGCGTAACCGTGGGCAACGGGCGGACGATTCGCGCGGTGCGGGAGCACGATGCGTCAACACGCGGCATGTCGGAGCACGGAACGAGGCAGTTCGACATGGAACTGAGAGGAACGACATTGTTGATAGTGTCATCTGCAGGAGCGTCGAGGTCATAGGAACGACCCGGTATGGGGGAGGTGCCGGCGCGGGTGGGTATGCGAAAGAGGAATATAGAGACACGGGAATGTCTGGGAGTATGGAACGTCAAGATTCTGGGAGGTATGCGGAAGGTAACAGCACTAGTAGGTATGCAAGTGTGGAAAGTCAAAATGTAGGGATGTATGGGGGTGAGAAAAATAAGGATACAGCTGGGTACGGGAGCATGCAAAGCAGAGATATGGGCAGATACGGGGGCACGCAACTTCAAGATACAGCTGGGTACGGGGGCACGCAACTTCAAGATACAGCTGGGTACGGGGGCACGCAACTTCAAGATACAGCATGGTATGGGGGTATTCAAATCAAAGACGAATACACGTATCAGGGCATGCAAAGCAAAGTTGCGGCGAGGTATGGAAGCGTACAAAGCAAAGACACGTCCGGGTATGGTGGCAGGCAAACGAAAAACAAGGAAGTCTACAGGAGCACGCACAGCACAGCCACGGCCAGGTATGGAGACGCGCACAGGAAAGAAACGGGCAGGCATGGGCACGTACAAAGCAATTACAAGGAAATGTACGGAGGCACGAAAAGTATTGACACAGCCAGGTATGGTGGCGCGCAAAAGAAAAACAAAGACACCTATGGGGGCGCGCAAATCAACGACGGAGCAGCAGCGTACGGGGCGCGTCCGTTACCGGAGCGCGATGCCGACATACGAAGCGAGGCGGATGCTCCGGATGCTGCGGGACGAGACGAGAGCATCCTCCTCATCGAGCCGTTCTACTGCGGCTCGCACCGGCAGCTGATGGACCTCGTTGCCACGGAGATACCGGGCTGCGTGCTCAAGGTCATGACGGGAAAGAAGTGGCAGTGGCGAGCGCGCACGAGCGCCCTTCACCTCGCAGAGGTCATCCCGCTCTCAGAGTCGTTCAGGTAGGCCGCGCGTGATTGGTCGCCGGCGTGGCGTGGTAGATGTCCCCCCCTCTATGGGAAACGTGCTCCCTTCTCTAGGATGTGCGTAGGTGTGGGTGTGTGTAGCAGGGCACATTGCGCATGGGCGTGGTGGTTGGATGTTTTTGTGATATCTATACATAATATCTACGTGTATACATCTATCCATATTTATCTACATGGTGATGTTTGCCATATGTGATATACATCTATGTGTGTGATAAATACAAAGCTATATATATGTGTGTGCGTGCGTGCGTGCGTGCGTGCGTGCGTGCGTGCGTGCGTGCGTGCGTGCGTGCGTGCGTGTGTATAGTCATCAATCAGACTGATAGTAAAAGATTGTAGGTAACTTCCAGCTCAGTTGCAATAGTTGCTGTGACAGTAAGTAAACAGCGATATTGAGTCACATTGTGGTTGATTATGTGACGATGCCTTACGCAACCTAGTGATTCTGTTTTTTTTTATCACAATAGTCATAATTTATTTTCTACGTTTGTTTCGCGATCAGCAATCTTCGATGTGGCGAGAGCGCGATTGGCCGACCATATCGTACACTGGGGCTACCTCACAAACAAACATGCCTACTACAGCGCCCTCTGTGAGGCCGATGTCGCTATCTCTACGGCGCAACACGAGTTCTTTGGCGTTGCGATGTGAGTAAGGCGTGTCGCCTTGAAGTTTGTATTGTTGTTGATTGTTGATCAGTGGTCGCATGACTGGGTGTGTCCTTTCTGATGGAATTTTCAATTATTTGTAATTCCAGTTAGATTGGTAGATAGATGATAGGTTTATTGCATAACAAATGTTTAAAAAGGCGCAACTTATATTTGCCCGTGGCCACTTGGAAGTAACTTAACAACAAAAAACGTTCACTTAACAAAGGCAAAGTCATGAATCTTCAGCAAAGAAATGGTTTGGACTAAAATCGTGTATAGGTTTTCCATCTCGGCACAATCTCTCATAAAGTAACTCTTATCATTTATAATTGAACCTGACGGTACATCTAGTAGCAGTAGTAGGTGTTACTAGTGTAGGCGTGTTGTGTATGGTAATGACGTGTGTGTGTGTGTATTACAGGTTGGAGGCTGTGTATTGTGGCTGCTACCCGCTCTGCCCAAACAGGCTTGTCTACCCAGAGATTTTTCCACGTGAGTACAAACAACTTGGTTAAAGTAATATTTGAAGCATAGGTGTAGAGATTTAAGCAAGCTGTGGTTATGAGAAGGCATACAAGTAAAGTGAGTCGCAATTCGGTATGTGATGAAAGTTACCATTGAGGAGTCACTATATACATATATGTAGTTTGCTGAATTCAAAAGACATCATTAATTATGTAATGTAGTGAGGCCGCGCTTGAACCCTTGCAGTAAATCTACCACGACTTTCAGGGAGGCAGGATTGTTGGTTATGTTTGTTCCACTCACCTACTACGTAGGTAGTCATGCATTCGGTCGTGTTACCATGGAAACAGGAGTAGATAGTTTAGCTGCGGCATGACGAGGTGTTTACTCGTGTGTCTATGCAGGTGACTATCTCTACAACACGCCGGCGCAGCTGCTGAAGACCCTGCGAAGATTCTGCAAGTATCCGAACATAGTGCGGAAGCACAAGCTGCAGGTACGTACGTCGCGCGCGTATTCTTGTAGTTATACGCACGCACGCACGCACGCACGCAGGCACGCAGGCACGCACACACGCACGTACACCCACACACACGCATGCACGCACACGCACTCGTGCACGCACGCACGCACGCACGCACGCAGNACATACATACATACATACATACATACATACATACATACATACATACATACATACATACATACATACATACATACATACATACATACATACATACATACATACATACATACATACATACATACATACATACATACATACATACATACATACATACATACATACATACATACATACATACATACATACATACATACATACATACATACATACATACATGTATGTATATATACATGTATATATATATACATTATACACGCACTACATGTATTACCGTATTTATTCCATTTGAACAGGTATGGCGGATTCTTCACTAAGGATAAGGGATTCGCAAAAGGAACGCTCATTGCCACAACAGCAACAATAATAAATACGTATATAACGTGTTTGCCAGCTTGTGTTTCATGACTAGTGAATATTTTGTAACGTATTTGCTTATTCGCATGTGTTTCACGTACACCAGAGTAATGGAATCGAACTGTTCTGTATATAAAACAGCAATATTTCATATATCACATACAACTTACTGAATCCAGTTTAGCAGTTTTTGATATTTCAAAGGCTAGCTACTCACTATACTAGTAGGGGGATGAGTTTATTTCACAGCTTTTTAGCCCTCACGACTAGCACCTGCATTAAAATGTATTATGATACATTCATAAGTCACTGCCAAGCTGTGTGAAGTATATTCCTCATTTGTCCAAAGACAAACTACATATTCAAAAATGTAAGAATAACACTTCGGTATGCACATGTAACCTTTGTCTCTTATCACTAGACCAGCCCGCAACATATATAGCTTGCTTCTTTTGAGCAGATGTCATTGTGCATACGTTAGCCAGGTTCAGAAGTTATGTGTATAACTACTTTGGTGTATATAAAATAGACTATAATTATGTACTTGCATTTGAATTAAATACAATAAAGTTTTTTTTAAGTAATGATAGTAATATGTTTTCTTTTACCATTTTCCCTGACTACGGGTATGCAGGAAATTGCTTGCTTTAGCGAGATAGAAAACCTCCTAGATGGAAGAGTGAATGTTTGTTTGTGTAGTTGGGGCTTACGTACAAGGCTGGGATCCTAATACTGCCTCGTTTTGGTAACGAACAATACCAGTTTTAACATGATTCAGGATATATGTGTTCGAAGTATCATCGATGGCATATAAATATTATAGTTTCGCAGTTGACCATGTATTGACGCAATGTTCACAATTTGTCACATTGTCGCAATGTTCGCCAATGTTCACGGATGACGAATTTAGCCACGTACAAAGAAACCTTGCATATCTCACAGTGGATATCCTGTAGCATAGTTTTGGTTTCAAAACTTGATTACCAACCCTTCAATAAATTCATTGGCTTCTGCTTTTGATGGTTAACATTACTAGTTAGTTACATTACAGACTAGTACAAGTCTACACATTTAAGTCAAATCTTGTTAGTTGTGATGGCCATATGTTGTGCCTGCACAAACTCCCATATCCAGAGAGACATGATACAAGAATGCGTGGCACAGCTTTGTTGTTGATCCAGAGCGCTGCGCGCGGATGAGACGCGCAGTTCCGCGGGATATGCGCACGCGACCGCGGGGATGTTCAAGTATGAAGCGCTGTCCGCAGTGGAGACGTGCGCCAAATTCGAGGCCCGGCGCACGTCTCCACAGCGGTCAGCGGATGGTCTGTAGTTTTAGAAGATGACAATGATTATATATGGACGATATTCTAGGAATTGGAGATCATAAAACAGTAAAAAAAAATCGCTCAGTCGTGCTCCAGATTAGCTGAATCAAAAAGATTAGAATTTAATATAAACAAAACAAATACAATGGTTATGAAATTCACAAACAAAGAAAGGATAGAGAAGGAGATATTAATAGGCAAAGTAATCAAAAAATGCACCAAATATTCATACCTAGGGGATTTAATTAATGATATAGGAGGTTATAACAATATGATAAGAGTCCGAACTAAAAAATGTAGGTTCATGATGAGGGAAATATTATCATGGGTAGAAGAGCAAAACTATGGAAATCATACTATAGAAGCAAGAGTGAAATTATACGAATGCACAGTTTTACTTTCCTTCCTAAATAACAGTGAAACATGGACTAACTTAACTAAGAAAGAAGTAAAAATGTTGGAAGATTTCCAAAATAAGTGCCTGCACAAAATAATCATCACGCAGAAAACGCAGAAAAATCTACCGAAAGGCATTGAAAGAGGATGAAAACTCCAAGGAAAGATACGGAGAAATCAGTAAAAATAACATATATAGTTTCTATACGTAAATCGTGGTAAATACATTAAAAACGCATTATTTTATTGAAAATCCCCATATTTACTTATAAAACATCCAAGAGATGGCGCTGTGGCATGTATAGGCATGGCTCTGTCGTGCAGTGTGCTGTGAATGTTCAATAAATGACGCACTCGTTCACTTCCGACAGCGAGTGAAAATGCCGAAAATTTGCCTCTTCGATGCGAAATGCATTGGCCGGGCATTTCATTATTTACGAAAAGTAAAAAGGCAGGCGAAAGACAGCAGGTACAGGAACTGGTTACGTCGGTGACGCCCCATTCATGCATGTCCATCAACGAAGAATTAAGGCAGGGCTTATATTCTGATTACGGAGATGCGAAAATGCAACAGAAGGACTTAGCGCAGTGCGCTAAACAGCGTGTTATTTTCGTATTTGTGGCAAACTCTATCGTAGGAAACTGTTCTAACATAGCAGAATACCCTAGTTCCTGAGATCGGCGATTTGGTGCTGCAATGGGTCCCCACCTATAAAATTATAATAGAGAAGTGCGGCGTAGGCTGTGATTGGAAGACAGTGAAGACACAGTGTCAATCCTCGGCGCGCCTCGGCATCATGGCCGCATCACGTCAAGCAGGGGCGTAGATAGCGGGGGGGGGTATATCTCTCACTTATTGAGGTGGAGGGGATGGCGTATACAATCATCCCCCTACTTTCATGAGGAAAATGGGGAAAATTTTTGACAGACAATAAATAGGCACCCTACTGAACATTTATCTGCACATACATCTACTGACATCACACTTCCATCACTTACATCCTTCCACCACATCTTCAATCTTCCATTCTTTCCAATTACAATTCCAATTCCATTTCCATTTCCAATTCCAATTCCAATTCCATTTCCAATTCCAATTCCAATTTCCAATTCTTTCATTACTTACATCACTTCCATTACTTTCATCTACTTACATCAGTGACATATATCTACCGTAAAATGTCTGTAACTCGTTCCAAGAATGACATTATTTTGATTTAACCACTGAAACTCAGGCGGTTAATTTTTGACGCATTCCCCGGTACGATTTTTTTTCAAAATCCCCAAATCACGTCTTATCACTGTTCACGAAAGTTAAATCCCTGCTTTATTCAAAATTAGAATAGACCTATTGAGAGTTGGGATATTAAATTTCCACGGGGATTGAAAGGGGAAATTCAATTTCATCACACTTTCTTTTATGGAAGGGGATGGGGGTGCTGAGACAAGACCGGAAGTATATTTCCGATTTTGTATAAGGGGTGGAAATATGCACTTTTTGGTTCAAATCTGGTTGTTTTCCTCATACTTTTTTGTACAGTTTTAGCGTTCTCAGTAAAATACGTTTTATCAAATTTTCAGGGGGATATGATTCCAGTGGTGTAGTTGTGAACTTGTGGGAGGGGTTGCCTGTTATTAAACCTCTGGGAGCCAAAGAAAAAATTTAACCCTAGAATTCACAAATATTGCACTTAAAATGTTCACTGTTCTAAATTGTTATACTCAAAATCCAAGAGCTTCCCGGGGCTCCGCCCTGGACCCTGACGCCCTAGGGCGGGCCCCTGGACCCTGGAGCCTGGGCCCCACCCATTAAGGGCTTCGCGCCAAGGTGCTGGCGGTCTGCGCTACGCGCACACATTATTCGTATACTTTGTGATAGAAGTAACAGCGAAATCACCCCTCCCCCCCACAACTGAGGACCTGTCTACGCCACTGATATCAAGTAATAAAATTATTCACCTATTCAATCGACTGCTTTGGTTCTTCCAAATGTCTTTGTAATGTAATTAACTTTTTGCACAGATAGGGACGAACGTTACACATGCCTTCGACTCTTAATTAATAGCATTCCTAACTCTGCTAGCGCCAGTACTAGTGGACGCAGCTACGTGTTCTTAATTGTTTAATTCGGCAGCAGCGCTGGTCTCCACAACGATACTCCGTTACTATGATGTAGTAAGAAGACCAAATTTAGACGAGGAACGTCATTGATCAGCACTCAAAGTGGTGACGGAAAACGATAGGTAAAAAGCCGAATCGAGCTTAGGTGCGACAGTCATGTGTTCAGCTCGATTTCTACACGTCCGTAACGCCTGGATAAGCTATGATTACAATCCAATATCTGAGCCTAGAAGTGTCATGGAGACAAGGGGTTGGTCTTGTTTTAGAGAAAAAGGAATGCTGCTTAGCATTTAAAATAGAATAGTATTGCCGTACAATCGTCATGTTTCTCCCGTTACACACTTTGCATTATTAGCTATGGTATGGTATATGGTATGGTATGGTATTGTTATGGTATATAAATCAAGGCCTATAGATATAAACATATACTAGATCATAACGTGTTTATATCTATAGGCCTTGATATAAATGGTATCGTAAAAAAGAAGTAGGCCTACCTGTACAGGTAGCGCCATCTCCTGTGTATCCGGTTCCGCACTGGCAGACGTTGGTAACGCATGTTGCTTCGGTAGCGCAGTCACTGTCAATCGTGCATGCCACTGTGAAAACGCAGTCAGTAAAATTAATGATATCGCATCATTATCGTTAATGG